TGTTTTGTTGCGAAAACAAAACTACTTTGTTTGGCCTTCCAAAAGAGGACACGACTAGAAATCAGTGGTTAAGTTGTATTTACAACACTGTTCCAGAACAGTTCAACCCAAATATTCAAATGTGTGCGCGCAACATCCTGGTCGAGTAGACTACAGTGCCGGCTGTTCTGACTCACAGACTGCAAATACGTTTTTTTATATTTAAAGAATTTGCCCCTGCCAATTCAAAAGGGAGTTTTGAGCAGTGTAGAGTAGCGCTTGTTGTTTGTCATTTCTCCGATCACAAATGCAGACATGGTTTTATTTATATGCGGCACAATGCAATACAACGCGTAAAAAGACAGTACAAGTCATTAGCACACCTTGCTATTCAGACCGATGAGCTTTGTAAAAATCGACGCGTTTCAGAAAGGCGGGGCATAGAGGAGAAACATTAATGTACAGTATGTGGAAAACAATGTGTTTTTTTACCTTAAACTGCATAAACACATTTCATTACACCAAATAAATGTTCTTTTTAGCAACATCATATGACCTCTTTAAGATGAACTAACAATGAAAAAAATGCTTCTAAAACATTTAGTAATTTGTTAATTTCAGCATTTCCCAATACATTAAAATAATAAATTTTGTTTGTTAGTTAATGAAACTAAGATAACTTGATCTTAACAAATGAACAGTTGTGTTTTTATTAACTAGCATTATAGATTAATAAATATTTTAACAAATGTCAATGTTTCCCCTAGGTTTACGTTTTTTTTTTTCTGGACTCCTTTTTAATGGTTAAATTAGATTGTATTAAATCAAAAAGCATGTCTAATTAAAATCATGAAATTTAATCAATTTAACAAAAGTTGAACAAATTACATATTTAGGGCCCTATGAAATGGTTTTCTTTTTTCCAACCTTAGGTTTTATTGTTACCAAATTTTGATTTAGCATGTCTAATTATTTGCAAAGCATAAATTTTCATTTATTCTTACAATAGCCTTATTATTTTTTGCTCAGAAATTCGGTGATATGCATTTACATTTTTTTAAGGCATAAAATCTTCATTTATCTTTTAAGTAATGAGAATTAAACTTTAATTTTTTGGAAAATATTACATTTAATATTACAATTACAACATTGAAGAAATATTGTATGATTATTCCTTAAAAATAAGGTTTTAATTTTAGTAGTAGTAGCAGCCTATTACGTACATTCTACTGAACAATAGTAATACATTTATGCCGCAATGCCTTCAAGTTAAACAACTTATTTTGATGGGTTGCCGTGAATACCTTTACATTTCTGTATGTATATGATATGAGGATAGTTTTACTCAAATTAAACGGTCAAATGCTCATGAAGTTACTCTCAGAGCAGTTCTAAAGATGTTGTTCATGTATTTATGTCCTCGTTAGTGAGACGGCAGACTAAATCAGCTTGCAGCTAAAATCACTGCAAGCGTCACGCGCACTTCAGTACGAGTGGTAAACAAAACCACACATCTGCGCCATTCATTAACACGGAGACACGCAGAATTCATATTTAAATAGTAGTTTTGTGGCTTAATATTTACAAATACTAATGGGAGTGTGCTCACTTGTGCGCGCGCGCGCGAGAGAGAGAGAGAGAGAGAGAGAGAGAGATAGAGAGCGCACCGGGGCGGAACTCCAATGTGCGTTGATAGAGAGTGCGACCATAACGTAGAGACCGAAATGACAAGCCGTCGTGTAACTAAGATAAATAACATAAGGCTATTTAGTTTGTTTAATAAAAGAACAAGGTATAGACCTGTTCTATTGGAAAGGTAACTTTAAAATGACTTCTGTTTTGATCTGGCACTATAGAGAAAATATAAATTAAATTAACTTGACCAAGGGGGGGGGGGGGGGGGGGGGGGGCCCCCCTCAGAAATTGGAGGGGGGACGCGCTATAGAGAAAATATAATTAAATAAAATTCACTTGACCTTCAGGGGGGGGGGGGGGGGGTGCGGGCTGCCCCCCTAATATAATGGCAGGGGAAACATTGAATGTATTGCTAATTGTTAGTTAATGCATTGACTAATATTAAAATAATTGTAGCACTTTACAATTAACAGTTATTTTTTCAACCTTTCAAAATCATTACCAGATCATTCTTGCAACCACATTTACAAAAAAATCTTTAAATTTATAATAAAATATTCTAGATCAGGGTTTCTTCAGGATTTTAAAGCTCAAACTTAAGATTTTAAGACCTTTAAAGACCCGCACAAATAAATGTAATACCATATGAGCGGGGTATGGCAATGCCTATAGTTAGGGCTGGAGCAGAATATTCGATTTTCAATTTTGAGATTTGAATATTATTTTTTCCCGAACACCTGGCATCCCCCACGAAACGGTTCTCATTCGCGCTTGAATACGAATCGGCCATGAGTGAATGTCATGAACATCATGATTCAGCTCATCTGGAAGAGAAGACAAAAATGCCGAATACCTCAGCTGTGTGGGAGTACTTTAAATTGAGTGAGGAGAGGACAAGACAAAGGCAGTGTGCCAAATATGCGATTTGAAACTGGCCTACCACAACAGCACATCAAGTTTGAAAAATCTGTAAAAGTTCTGCAAGTAGTAGCCTATAGTATATTGATGGTGTAAAAAACAAGTTGCTTTTATCCGCCATGTTAATCAGTAATTTTACACATGATAAAAACGTGCACTTAACTTTCTTGGAAAATACATGCGAATACGGCAGTCATAAAAAAAAAACGTACAGTAGCCCAGCCTAATAATAATAATTTGTCTATATTAAAAGTATTTCTCTTAACAGACCGTTGTGTTTTGGATCACTAGTGCAGTGTCTGTTCTCGGCGCATATAAGCCCTGCCCACGTGAGGCACACCGCTTCTGGCTCGCGCTGTTCTGTAGTTTATTAAAAGTTTATTAATTCCGAATGTGTCGCATGTCCATATTGCACCAAAACACAACACTGCACTCTCTCGGGTCCGCAGCAACACACCTGTGAAGTTGATTGGATAAACTGTTCTCGACTAGGCTTGCCGCGATAGACGGTGCTGAAAGAGATACCGTTGTTAAAGCAGCACTATGTACCTTTTAGCGCTTTAGCGGTTAATAAACAGAATTGCACACATCCCGCGGAAGAACATTCCAACCGGAGCTACTTCTCCAAGTTTGTCTATGGCGATTCACGCAGGGATGCGTTACTCCGCAGCGGTGATGACCCGACCAGGCTACAATAGTCCAAATATAAGTACTTATTCGGAATAAGACAAAAAAGCCGTTTGGAAGATTAATTTATGATGTACTTGCTCATTATATACATTTTGCAAATTTTGAACAGAAAGTTACATCGTGCTGCTTTAAGCCACAACACCGGTTATGTCACTTGCGGCACCGACCCCCACCGTCGTTTAGATTTTTTTTATAGTAGGCCTAATAAAAATAATTTAATTCAGTAAAAAGAACAGACACTACAATTAAAAACTGAGCGCGGCTGCTCAATGCAGCATGCCGAACGACAGTCGCATCACAGATCAGATTTAATTTATCCAGTGAGGAGAGTGAGTCGAGCTGACTGACAAGAGTGGGGCGAGACAGACATGACGATGGCGGACGATTTAGTTTCGAAACGAAATGCAAAAGCGACTGTTTGGCAGTATTTTGGATTTTGAAAAGCCTGTTGACTTTTGCAGTTTATCTAAGGTGATTTTGCTTATAGCATGGTGCAGCCTATTTTTTAATTCGTTTTGTTAATAAAAGATCTGTTGTATATATAGGCTAAAGTGAGTTTGACGTTGTCTTTTGTTGCATTCAAGCGGAATTGCCGCCAATTCAAAAATGAAAGTTAAAGTAAAATGCGCACAGCGCTTTTAAACTATTTAAAAGCAAAGGAAA